ACACGTTCTTTGAAAAAGCGGCTAAATCTAGCGTATCTCATGGCGCCGATCTGCGTCGTCTCGGAATCTCTATTCGCTAATTGTGGGATTTACGGACGATTCTTTCCGCCTGCAATGACGAGTGAGTCTTCCATGGCAATCAGAGAACAGTAGTAAGTGCTGGGGAACGTTGATAAGGTCGTGGATGCGCTTAAAAACGTCCTGCTGCATTGCTTTGACCGTGAGTGCTGTTCTTTCCCAGTTGCGCGGTCGTTCAATCGGACGCAATCAGATTGTTCACTGCCGGGCAAGCTGCTTTCTGGAGCCATATGAAGACCTGCGTTGCGTTGGGCTAAGCACGCGGTCACTCCGCACGACCCACTTATATTGGCGACTGGCTGCGACGAGGAAGCAGATGCCCAACATCGGGGATGGTCCTCCAATTTCGGACAGGTTCCGCCCACGGACCGGCAATTGGGGCACGCAGGGCATGCAACGCTTTGATCGCTTGTGCCGCAATGCGGCTGGGCGTGTGATGCGTTCCTGAGAACCAGCTTGGACGTGGCGCGACATTCGTAATTCACGCCTGCGGTGGACCACGGCGATGGGCTACTCCCTCGACAAGGGAGAGTTGAGCATGCGCCGGCTCCCATCGGCGGTCCCTGCTCAGGTAGCGCATAGGCCCAATGTAGAAGCACACAGATCCCATCTAACGAAGCGGTGCGCCGACACCTTAATGCGGAAGGAGCGACTTCCACTTGAACAGCCTTTATGCGCCGCTTTGGTCGACGTCTCCGCTATAATTTATAGCTATGTGTGTGTTCGTGTGTGCCAAAGCTCGGATCGAACGCAACAAATCTAGCCGATTTGCATTCTCCACCACAGAACTCAAGATTGTTTGCTCGGTCCCTTGTAGGGACGGCGCATCCGCCTCTCGGGGCTTGGCGTACTGGCCAACTGTTATGCGCTTTGCACAGCCTGCTCGATAAGCTGATTTGGCAGCTTGGTGTTGAAACGCTCTAAGCCGGAGCTCGAGCTGGAGGGGGCTCGAGAGCGACATCTTACGTCTCATCACGAATGCTACACAATGTCCGTATGGCTCGCCTGGGCTCGTACACCCTTCATCCACCGCTGTGTGGCGGTGATCAATCGTGCAACGAACGATTAAGCAGCAGCCGTGAGTTTTGGGTATCGTACCCACCTGCTGGCCCACGGTGTGTGAGCCTTTTGACCTACGCTGGCTGTGCCGTACTGTCCGTACAGTATGTCGCTGCTCGAGGTCGCAGTTAGGTGCGAAGCGTTCAGCTGTCCGCATCACACCTCTCGTCAGACTCAAACTGATAATTTGTTGGTCTCAAATCGGAGACGCAAATCACTAGCTCGAATGCGCATACAT